ATAAAAAAAAAAAAAATTTTTTTTTTTTTTGGTACCGGGGATCGAACTCAGGTCCTTGCTCTTGCAAGGCAGGCAGCAGAACCACTGAGCTAAATCCCTGGCCCTGATACAAAAATTTTGATGCAGTCCAACTTATTATTTCTTCTGTTGCTTATGCTTTTGCTATCAGACTTAAGAAATCATTGCCTACTCCAAGATCTGGAAGGTTTCCACCTGTATTTTTTTATTTTAGTTTTTGCCCTTTTTGCTTAGGTCGTTGATCCCTTTTATGTCTGTTAGGTATAAACAGATTGTAGTGTTTTTCAAGTCCTCTAATTCCTTGTTGAAGTTCTTTTTTTTTATTTATTTGAAACAGTTTCTTACTATGTAGTTCAGGCTGGTCTTGCACTATGTATCCCAGGCTGGTGTTAAAAGCTCTCCACCTGCTTCAGCCTCCCAAGTGCTGGGATTACAGATGTGTGCCTCTTTGCCTGGCTGAGCTTATATTTTTGATATCCATTATTAAAAGCAGGGTATTAAAGTCTCCAAATATTTCTGTCTACTTCTCCCTTTAATTCTGTTAATTTTTGCTTCATATATTTTAGTTCTCTGTTAGATATATAAATGCCAGTAACTATTCTATCCTCTTGTACTAAGCCTTTTTATCAATATATAATATCCTTCCTCATTTTTTTAGCCTTTCTTAAAAGTCTATTTTGTCTGATGACAATATAACCACCTCAGTGTCTTTTGGTTACTATGTGCGCACAGCATATCTTTTTCTATCCTTTTACTTTAAATCTCTTTGCATCTTTATATTCAAAGTCAATTTCTTGGCCAGGCATGGTGGTGCACACCTGTAATCCCAGAACTCGGGAGGCTGAGGCAGGAGGATTGCTGTGAGTTCGAGACCAGCCTGGGCTACATAGTGAGTTCCAGGTCAGTCTCAACTACATAGTGGGACCCTGTCTCAAAAAACAAACAAACAAAAAAGTGAATTTCTTGTAGGTAGCATATAGGTCATTAAAAAAAAAATCCAAAGTGACAATCTCTGTCTTTAACAGAACTTAATCCATAAAGTTAGAAAAAGAATATGAAGAATTTACTCCTATCATTTAACTACTTGGTTTCTGTATGTTTCTCATGTTTTTGGCTCCTTAATTCCTCCATCACTGCCTTTCTTAATACTTATTTGATTGTTGAAACAATCTGCTGGAAGGTAAAATAGGTAAAGCTCTTGAAGACATAGGTAAAGGCAAAGACTTTCTGAACAGAACTCCAATTGCATAAAAGATCTTCACACCAAGAATCAACAAATGGAATCACAGAAAATTAAAAAGCTTCTATGCAGCAAAGCACACAACCAACAGACTGAAGAGACAACCTCCAGAATTGGAAAACATTTTGCTATCTATTTATTCCTCAGATAGAAGGCTAGTACAACCATAATGCAAATCAGCATGGAGAGCCCTCAAAAAACTAAAACTAGAAGCCGGGCGTGGTGACTCACACCTGTAATCCCAGCACTCAGGAGGCTGAGGCAGGAGGATCGCTGAGTTCGAGACCAGCCTGGGCTACACAGTGAGTTCCAGGTCAGTCTCAACTACATAGTGAGACCCTGTCTCAAAACAACAACAACAACAACAACAACAACAACAAAAAAAACACCTAAAACTAGAAATTCCATTTTACCCAGTTATTCCCCTTCTAGGTATCTTTCCCCAAAGGTTAAAGAAATCATACTACAGTGATCAATGCATATTCATTTTATAGCAGCACAATTCATAAGTTAAATTTTGGCAGTAGTCTGTATGTCCAACAATGGATGAATAAAGAAAAGTGGTACTTACACTCAGTGGAGTACTACTCTGCTATAAAGAAGGATAAACGAGTCATCTATAGGAAAATGGATGCTCCTTGAGACTACCACATTAAGTAAAATAAATACAAGCTTAAATATCACACGGTTTCTCAGAAAAACAAAATAAAAAGCAAAATAAAAGATAACAGCAAAAAGAGAGATAGCTCTTTTGCAAAAGGGAAGGGGATCAAGAAATGGAGGACAAGGGCTGGGGGTTTAGCTCAGCGGCACCACATCTGCCTCTTGAGTGCAAGGTCCTGAGTTCAATCCCCAGTATCAAAAAAAAGAAAAAAAAAAGAAATGGAGAACAGGGGGAAGGGGGGAAGAAAAAAATAAGATGTGTTACATACATTTACCAACTCCCAAGAGGCATGTGATCATTATATACTCCAAATATGTACTACTAAAAAATTTAAAAATATCTTCTTGCTTACAGTGTACCAGATTTGATTCCCTCCTTTCTATGTACTTATATATGTATATAACATACACATAGTTATTTTCTTTGAGGTTAACTTGGGGATTACAATTAATATCTTAAATTTAAAATAATCTATTCTAATACCAGTTTAGTTTCAATATTATACAAACGCTGCTCCTATACATCTCTCCTTGCTATTGCTTTGTTATTTACACAGATAATACATCTTATTACACTGTCCACTAGCATAGATTTATACTTTTTAATGCAATTTATTTCACAAATACATTGGAAAAAGAGAAAAGCTACAAATATAATGCAGTGATACTGGCTTTTATATTTACCTATAAACTTATCAGTGTTATTGCTTTCTTATGACTTCACTATCCTTTCATTCCAGCTTAAAGGACTCTTGTTAGCACTTTTAGTAGGGCACGTCTACTGGTGATGTACTCTCATAGCTTCTGTTCACCTGAAAATGCTTTAATTTCTCTTTCTTCTTTGAAGGACATTTTTGTCAGATAAAGAAATCTATGTTGGTAGATTTCTGAAGGTTTTTTTGTTTGTTTGTTTGTCTTTCAGGACCCTAGATGTGTCCTTGTGTTGCCTTTAGGCCTCCAAGGTTTCTTATGAGAAATCAACTGTTAAGCTTATTGAGGCTCCCTTATGTGTGATGGGCTGGTTTCCTATTGTTACTTTAAAAATCATCTTTGTCTGAGTTTTCATAATTTTAATATGAGTCTTAGTGGGTCTCTTTGAGTTTATCCTGTTTGAAATTCACTGAGCTTCGATTTGTACATTCACATCTTTCATAAGATTTGATGTTTTCTACCTTTTGCGGGGAGCATACTGGGGATTCAACCCTTCATACTGAGCTATATTTCCAACCCCTTGTTATATTTTATTTCATTTTGGGGGTGGGTACCAGGGATCATATTATATTTTATTTTGAAGCAGGGTCTCACTAAGTTGCTAAGTTGCCCAGGCTGGGCTCAAACTTGCAAACTTCCTGCCTCAGCCTCCAAGAGTGCTGGGATTATCGGCATATGGCACCATGCCCAGCTCATTCTTTAAATATTCCTTATGACCCCTTCTCGCAGGTCTCTTAGGCTCTGTTCATTCCCCACCCTCCTTTTTTGTGATCGTTTGGCTAACTTCAATCATCTTCAAATTCAATGATACTTTCTTCTCCCTGCTCAAATGAGTTGCTGAACCCCCTTTTGTAAATTTTTCATTTTAGTAACTGTACTTTTTAGCTGTAGAGTTTAGTTCCATTTTATAATTTCTATCTCTTTACTGATATTCTCAATTCCATCATGTGTAGTTGTCCTGCTTTCCTTTAGGTCTTTGATAGTTTCTGATAGTTCACTGAATATATTGAAGACAGTTGATTTAACATCTTTGACTAATAATTCCAATGTTTGGACTTCCTCAAGGAAGGTGTCTGTCAAGTCTGTTAAATTCTTTTTTTGTTCCCCCTATGAACAAACCATGCTTTCCTATTTCTTTGTATTGTTTCTTGTTGGGAACTGGACATTCTGAGTACTATGTGTGACTCAAAAATCTAATTATCTCAGCCTCCAGCTTTGCTAATTTTTGTTTATGGAGGGTTCTGTGACTTCTCCAACCTATTTTTGCAAGGTATGTATTACTTATCTGGGGGTGGGGGTTTCACTGAAGTTTCTGTCTATGACCACTTTGGTAACCTAAGATTTCCTTAAATGTCTGGCTCACCAAAAGGGGGTACTATTTTCTTAAGGACACTATCTCTTTAAATCCCCTGTGGCTAGGAAATTGCTTCAGCCCATGGGGGTTGGAACAGCAACAGCTTCTATTCTGGCTTCTCAGTGAGGAAATATAGTGTTTAGCAATCAAAACACAAAACTTGGCTTTTGGAAGACAAAATCATTATTGCACAGCTTGGCAACAATAATCCACACCAGGAACCTGGCCCACAGTCACCATGAATGCCAAGCTGCGGAGATAGGAGAGGTGATGATGCTGTGTGAACCAGAACATCACCAAGATGTGCAAGCCACTCCCATCAAGCTCCTCTGTGTGCCACAAATGTTCAACTAAATTCCAGGCTTCTAATAATATTTGGTTCAGAAAGTTTATATCAGCTCAATAGCTGTTCTGATGGAGGAGTAGAACTCTGTTCTTCCATTTTCTTAACATTACTCTCCCCAGGCAGCTTCTTTGTTTTGTTTTATTTTTGAGACAGGGTCTTGCTACCAGTATGCAGGTCAGGCTAGTCTTGAACTAGCTATGTAGCCCATGTTGGTCTTGAACTCTCAGCAACCTTCCTGCCTCAGCCTCCCAAGTGCTGGGACTTACAGGCATTGTGCACTTACATCTGGCTCCAAGTCAGCTTTTTAACAGACTTATTCAAACATCTTCATCTCTTTTGAGCATGACACCTGGCCTATTGGTAGGCAAAAGAAGTACAGAACTGGGCACTTAAACCAACTTTGACAAAGCCTTCCAAAGAGGAGAGACAATCTGCTTTCCACTGAAAAAGCTCTAACCAACCATACGCAAGCTCCTTTTTGTCCTGCTCCAACTCCAGACTATTTCACCAGCCCGTCAGGAAACTGTGAGTCTGGGTCTCAGAGGAGAGCATCTTCCTCTAGTCTTTCCTCAGTGAGAACAGGCTGGAATTGAAGGTACCAGCAAAGAACTGCACCTTGGGTCAAGGAACTGGGACTATCTGAGGGGCGGGATTCTGTTCCTGGCTTTGGGAATGAGGTGTCAAGTACAAGGCTCCACACTGACGCAACTTATACCATAGTCTCCAGGGACCAACCTCCACATTTCCGGGTGTCTCCAGCACCCCTCTACCACAGCCAACCCAGCACCATAGCTGCCATTTGGAGCTGCCAAGCCCTTTATCTTTTGCAACACTCTTCTCTCCTGGCTCTTGTTTGGGCTTCTGGCTTCCCTGTGATGGAACCTCTAATGAAGGGAGAGAGAGGCTGGGAACTCAGGGTCAAAGAACCCAGAAAATCATCCAATAATATGAATAATCTATGGCTTCACAACTATGTCTTAAACAATACTTAAAATTTTACTTTTCAGTATGAAAATATCATGAATAGAGAAATTTAGGAACAAAATTCAAGCTTTGGGTTCTATATATGTTAAAAAAGAAGCCCAAGACAGAATTTTCAACATTAGATAGGAGCACTTCCTGTGTGTAAAGACAATTAAAGGCTCTCTTTCCTTTGGTTGACTAATTTGAGTTGAATTTCCTCTGATGTCCTTTTGCTCTTTCCTACCCAGTTACTGTGACTTGCCTGACTTAGATGATGTTTTATTTATTTTCCTGTTGCTCAGCAGTGACTAGACAATCTTAGATGCCTTTAGGTTCACCATGTTCTTTCCCTTGCACAGGTTTTTAAAAAGTGAACCAAACAAAATCCTAACTCACTTTCAACCTTTTGTTATTTCAGACTGCCTTGGCTTTTGCTGCTGTTTGTCCTCTTAAGGAATCAGACAGTTAATGCTGCTAGCAGGTAGCCTTAGAGACAGATGTCCACTGTGCAATAAATTCAGTGCCCACCTGTGGAGTACATTCTCCCCTCACCCACAGAGGAAGGCAATGGTTCCCAGGTGCTCCTTACCTAGTTCAAGTCCAGTCTGGGAATTCGATGTTTCAAAGGGCTCTGAGCTGGCCTCAGGAACACTGGGTTCACACAACTCACTATTTTCGGACACTTCTGAATAGGTGTCACCCAGGCCTTTGTGAATTGCCACAAGCTCTCCAGCACCAGGGTGCTGGTCCTCACCGCCTGTGTCTGCCACAGCGCGTGTTTCCTCACCCATTTTCTCAGCAAACCATTGCTTGACCTGCTGGGAGCTCATCTGGGTCTTCTCACAGAGGTTCTGCAGGTCCTCCTCATACAGCATCTTGTGTGTCATGTAATAGTCTTGCAACAGTTCCCGGTTGCCAGGGGCAATGGCCAGCAGCCCTGGTGGGAAGTTGCCATGCTTGTAGTCTTCATACCACTTGAGTTGGCCATTCTTTAGGGCATATCTGCTGTCCCCAAACCAGCGCACCACCTCTGGCCGTGGCAGACCTGTCTGGGCCATGATAGAGTCATAGTCCTGGTTGCTTGGCCACTGTGTCTGGACGAAGAGCTGCCGCAGCAAGTGCCGCTGCTGGGCTGTCTTTTTGTAGCTCATTTTGCCTAGGGGTTGCTCTGCCAGCTTGTTCAAACCATCATCCTCAGGCTCACAGGCACCCAGCCCTGGAAGGTCAGTCTTGCCACTGGCTTCACTGACCCGCAGGTTCTTGAGGTTAATTTTGATGGGGCTGACTTTGCGCTCTGCTGAAGTCTGGTTGATAGGCATTTCTGGGGAGCCATTTTCACCAGTGACCCTCAGCTCACTGGCCAATTCTCCTTCTCCACCCTCATCTTCAGCAGCCTCCTCTTCCTCCTGAGAGCCATTCTCATCAGCTTTCTTGGTCTCCTCGGCATTCACTTTTTTCCGTCTTTCTGAAAACCAGCTATCAATTTCTCTCCGCGTCATCTTGGTTTCACTTCTCAGACGGTCTAGTTCCTCATCAAGAGGAAGCGGGTTTTGTGCAAAGCTGTTCTCCAGGGCACGGAGCTGCTCAGGGGCTCTTTCTTTGTATTTGGTTGGTGTAAAGTCAGGAGTCTGGTGCCAGGATTGCCGTTTGGCAGCAGGGTGGCTTGCCAGTGAGGCCACTGTCGGGATGCAGGCTACTTCAGGGGTCTTGGATGATGGGGAAAGGGGGACTTCTGGTAAAGAGTCAATGAGGATAGAGCCAGGCTCTCCCGGCATCATGGTTCTGGAGCCCTTCAGGTTCCGGCAATGGTATCTCCGATCACTGAACCATTTCCGAACCTCTCTGGTACTGAGCCCAGTTACTTTGGTCAGATGCTCAACTTCATTCTGCCCTGGAAACTGGTTCCGACAGAAGCTCCCTTTCAGAGCTGACAGCTGCTCATGAGACTTCTTATTTTTGTAGATGTTAGCATCAAGAAAGGCTTGGGAAGTTATGCTGGGACATGCAGTGAGAAGTGACTGGGCTGCATTGACCACCTTCACAGCTGATGTTGTATTTGAACACACAGTATTAACAGGTGTCACAGACGGCTGCTTAGGGATAGATGTAACTGCCAAGGGCAGAGACGAGTTTGGTGCTTGCAACCCATTGGCCATCAGTGGTTGAGTGACCAGGAGTCCCCCTGATGTGCCCTCTGGCTGTCCCACAACATGGCCTGGGAGAGCGGCCTGAATGAGATGCTGGACATTGCCAGCACTGGCAACCAGAGGAGTGTTTAGAACTGTGATCGTAGGCTGAGGAACAGATTGGATGACTGTATTGAACATCTTTTTCCGGGCATCCTCGATCTCCTCAGGGGACCAGCTGATACCCTGTTTCAGCCTCTGGGCTGTAAACCAGATTTTAAGCTGTTCTTCTGGATACTTGGTCACCACAGTTAGGTAGCAGAGCTCAGCTTTGGTTGGGTAAGGGAACTTGTGGAAGGAGTTCTTCAGGAAGCTGTTGGAATCCATGGCTGCATTGTATGTTGGGATGCTGCTCAAGGGGATCATCACTTTGGGAAGGGACTTGGATGTAGGGAGGGGCTGGTGTGCATGGTGCTGGGCATGCACTGGAGGCTGCTGCTGGAGGGAGAGGAACTGTGCTATACCAGCTGGCAAAACTGGCACCGATCCTATCAGGGGCCCGTTGGCAGCATGGGGGTGCTTTGCAGAGCTGGCAGATGCCTGGCTGACAGGAGCTGCCCCATTGACAAAGGTATGGTCTCCCTCTTTCACTTCTATCTCTCCACCAGATGGCTTTGGCAAGGTCTCACCCACAGGCTGACTAGAGACATTCTCCTTGAGCATATGAATTTTTTTGGCTTCAGCTTTGCCTTTCATTATCTTCATGATTGGGGTCTTAGTAATGATGATTTCAGCCTGCCCATCAGTTCCTTCAGTGTTGGGCTCAACTGCTACGTCAGGAGTGCTGGTGCTCTCAGGTACACTCTGCTCCACCATTACATGATTGTCTGCCTTGATTACATTCCAAACAAAGCTGGCTTCCCCCAAGTGACACTTAGCATTGTGCATGGAAAGGCCTTCAGGGTTTTTGGCCAGGAAACTGCACCCAGTGCATATAAAAGTTGGGTCTTTATTAAAGTCTGTGTGCTCTGAGTTCATATGTCCCACAAATTGGGTCATATCCTGGGATCTGAAATCACAGTCTTTACAGGAATATAAATAGCCATCCAAAGTGTTCCGATGTCCATTGGCCAGTGCAGAGCCATCAGTGCTACTGGAGTTTTGGGCTGCCTCAGTAGTGGTGGTAAGTGCTTCTGAGGGCATATCCTGCTGGGGTCCTTCAGGCAAGGCCTCAGCAGGTTGGGCCTCCACACTGGCATTCTGTAGCACCACAGTCTTCATTGGGATCATGCACGGGATGGTAGATTTCCTCTTGCTGGCCATGGTGACAATCACTCTGGGTGATCGCAGGCGACAGCTTGTCCCATCACAGGCCTTATAGTATAAATCCCAGCTATTCCACAAGAATGCAAGAAACAGCTTCTAAGGGCAGCTTTTTCAGTAATTTTCAGAAATCAGATTTTTCCTATTAAAGTTGACAAAGAGAAAAAAAAAACAAGATTAAGATCTCTGTTTCTTAGATCCACAGAGATGCCCACTGCTTGCCTCTGTCATCTAAATCTTCTCACAATCTTATCAGCAGCCTGGTTGTGGCATCTAAATCAGGTGCCCCTCAGTTACTAACAAAATAATGCTCTGAAAAATGACCTGGGGATGTTCCAATACCACTTGACAGACTTAAGCAATGTTTTTTTGTTGTTGTCTCCCCCGCCCCATCTTCTTGCATTAGGAAACTCGGCTTTAAAGACAGAAACAAAAACATTCTCTTTTGGACCTCTAAATTAATTCTGACCAAGTCAGAGTGAGAACAAAAGATCCAGTGTAATTCTTGTTTAAATATTTGGACTAACAAGGGTTTTCTTTTCACTGCCCTCCCACATATAAGAACATGATGACGCCTCTGTCTCTCAAGCCAGGCCCCAAGACCAAGTTAGTAGCAGTGTGAGAATGCAGGGGAAGGTTTGGTGGGAAGACTGGCTGATTACGTAAAAGCTGGGTCTCTCTGTGTGGCCTTTCCCTGACTGTTCCTACCACTCCCATTCTAGGATTCTGGAAAGGGATCACCTCATAGTTACTGGCTGTACCAAGGACCACTATCACTGTGATGAAGCCAAACATTAGAGGGTCAGGATATCCACAGACCCAGTTTGTGGCTCAACCACTGAAAGTGAGGTCACATCTTGTACGTATATACTACACATGACCTTGCATTGTGCTTACTTTTTTACTGTTCTTTTTTTCCTTTGGGTGCCTTTATTGATGCTTCTTTAAAAAACCTATTAGGGCCAGGGATTTAGCTCAGTGGTTCTGCCACCTGCCTCGTAAGCACAAGGACCTGAGTTCAATCCCTGATACCAAAAAAAAAAAACCTATTAAATCTTTGATCTGTTTGAAATTTACTTCAAAAGCTGGAAGGCTGATTTATTTATATGTAAAATAACTGTAATAATAATTATTTAATGATACTATGAGAAAAGTGCTTTTACAACCCTCACTACTAACATAGCACCATAACCACTACCTTAGAAAATTGTACTGCTGTAATGACTAAGATAACAGCAATTCTAAATTAAAATTAAATTATAATCAGTGTTTGGACTTGATATAAAAATGTACAGAAAATTAAAATAGTTCTATTAAAATTCCTAGTAGACAAACACAACAAATTTTATTGTTTCTTTTTGTTTTTGGTTTGAGACAAGGTCTCACTATGTAGTCCAGGCTGGCCTCCAACTCTTGATCTTCCTGTTTCAATCTCCAAAGTTCTAGGATTACAGGTATGTGCCACATACACAGTCCTCTTTTTTTTTTGGTACCCATGATCGAACTCAGGTCCTTGCACTTGCGAGGCAGGCGCTAGGAACCACTGAGCTAAATCCCCAGCCCTGCCCAGTCCATTTTTTGTTATTCCTAAACCCAATCCTGATGATCGCAATGGTCATGATGATGTTTAAATTATTATTATTATTAAAAACAGTTGCAGGGCCAGGGATTTAGCTCAATGGTGCTGCCGCCTGCCTTGTAAGCGCAAGGGCCCAAGTTTGATCCCCAATACCAAAAAAAAAAAAAAAAAAAAA